CGGACTACAGCTCCCAGCGGGCACCGCGCCGCGGGGGGCCCCCCGCCCCGCGTCTCCCCCGCCCGCAGCCCCGGAAGTCCTGCTGGGCTGTGGGGTTTGGGGTTTTTTTTTTTTGTTTGTTTGGGTCTTTTCCGTTTGTTTGGTTTTTTTCCTTCCAACTTTTCCCTCGGAAGGCACGCTTGGCCGCGGGAGCGGTGCGTTTCGGTGGAAGGGCCTGCGAGGAGGGAGAGGGGTGCCCGAGTTCCTCCCCATCTGGCTGCTTGCACCCTCCTCTTCACAGCCCTTAGAGTCACGGAATCACAGAATCGTTTAGGTTGGAAGAGACCTTTAGGGTCATCAAGTTAACCTAGCACTGCCAAGTCCACCGCTAAACCACGTCCCTAAGCACCACATCTACCCATCCTTTCCATACCTCCAGGGATGGGGACTCAACCACCTCCCTGGGCAGCCTGTTCCAGTGCCTGACTGCCCTTTCGGTGAAGAAGTTTTTCCTAATATCCAACCTAAACCTCCCCTGGTGCTATTTACTCTCGTCCTATCGCTTGTCACTTGGGAGAAGAGACCGACCCCCACCTCGCTACAGCCTCCTTTCAGGTGGTTGTAGAGAGCAATAAGGTCTCCCCTCAGCCTCCTCTTCTCCAGGCTAAACAAGCCCAGCTCCCTCAGCTGCTCCTCGTAAGACTTGTGCTCGTTGATTAGGAAGGAAACTTTGGGGAGGGGAGGATGTTGCGTTCAGCTCAAGTCTTATATGGGCCAGTCACACGCACACAGCGCTTTGGTCTTTTAATCGGCCTGTGTGGGTGTTGCATGAGCAGCAGGAGAAATTTCCCTCCCGTTCATATCGTAATGGCAACGTTTGGCCGAGGGAGGGAACAGCTGGTTACCCCTGTAGCTTGTTTCTCTCCCCACCTGTGCTTGGTCACCTCCTTAACCTCACCAGCAAAGGTTTGCGGTTGGTGTTAAATGTGGCAACTGAAATTTGTTTGTTGTTCTTGTTTAAATGAGGGCTTTTTCCACCGTGAGTTTACTAAACACGGTCTTTTCCAGTTTGGATGCCCAGGTGCAGACACCCTGGGAGGGAGCAGTGGGCCTGGTCTTGTCTGGCTTCTTGTCCCCACCGTGGCTTCGGGAGCCGGCACAGCGCTGCCGTTACCAGGGCTGGAGATGGGCTGCAGCAGCGAGGTGGGTGAAGGCATGGCCCTGCCGTGTAGGTAACCTGATGTTACCTGGAGAGGTTCAGGGCTGTTTGTAACAAACATCGGAGCTGCCTCTTGGCGTCCCCGGGCAGCCCTCGGTGAAGCTGTTCCAGGGTGAATGCGAACCCAGCGCCTAGCGGTGCACGTTCTGCTCCTCGTCTCTTCAAACTGTTGCTTCTCCTTTCCTGGCAGCGATGTGCAGGACCAGTGAGTCTGCACAAATTCAATGCTATTTAGCATCTTTTTTTAGCATAGTAGCTAATAACTTTGATACATGTGAAAGCTAGAGAGCTGTGCATTCATAAAGCCTTTCTTGGACATTATAAAGCAATCGACAGGTTCCTGTCTCCTTGGTTCCTGTGAATCTTCTGGTTCAAGACTTGGTGGTGGTGGCACTCTTGCATAAGTAGTATTTTTATCAGGGAATAAGGAGTTTGCTTGTTCCTTAGACCACATCTGCTTAATTTAGATTTATTAGGGATTCCTGTGTTCCCCCTTGTCTGCCATCCTGCCTCCTTATGTGTGTTATAGGCTCCAGTACTTCTTTTGCTGTGGGTTTGGATCTCTGCTTTCCCAGGATCTCTTTTATCCCACCCCTTTCTGCCTACTAGTGCTGACGGTTCTTGGTGCTCTCCTTCTCTTGGTTACCCTTGTCCTCTCTGTCTCACCCCCCTGCTTCTCTTTACTCTTTCAAGGTGCCAACATTTTAAAACTCTCCAAGGAGATCAGGGGAAGTTTTACAGAAATTTGTGGTGTTGATGGCAGCTATCAAACAGTTATTTTACTGTCTATAAAGATCAGTTCTTTAACTTCTCCGTAGACAACTGCAGACCTGACTACACTGCACTCACTGTCTCCCTCTTTCTGATCTTCGTGTTTGGAAGCGGGCACTGTCTGTTGGGAGCTGGAGTGCTCCCTGAAAGGCTGGAACTGGTGGAAAGTGGTCTTGGAAAGGTAGCCCACCAGAAAAACGCCATGGAGACTGGACAAAGAGGGTGTCTACAGTAAGTGAGGTCTTCGGGAAAGCTACCGAGTGGAGATTGCTGCGGTGAGGTGTTGGTGTCTCTGGAGCCTCATAAAGTGCCTACGGTTTGATACGAGGCTAAAGGAGTCCTTTCTGTGCTTCGTTGCTGCCCTAGTGCAGAGCGTCCCTTCCTCTGTTTCTAAGATTTTGATTTTCTGCTTGGTCTGAATGGTGCAGGTCTGTTGCTTGCCTGGACTCGGAGCTTTCTGGTATCTGTATGCTTCCTGCCGCTTTTCCTTTGGTCTGTGGCCAGTGGCACGCCGTGGGTGACACAGAGGGTGCACGTCAGGAAGCCATGCCTGACACTTAACACTAGGGCTGACATCACGGTTGCTGGGCTGGCATCAGCAGCTCTGTACACCAGCAGAGACCCTTTGCTTGGCCCCATTGCATTTAAAAGCTCAGCATCTACAGCGAGTGCTGGCAGCCTGTAGGCTGCCTGTGCTGTCTGGGGCCAGCTGGGACAGTGAGGATGAGAGGACACAGTGTCCCTGTCCCCAGCATACCCCCCTATGCCATCTACCTCTCCCTGGTTCCCAGCTGTCCTGCTTTCCATTTTTTCTGCTGCAGGCAATTAAAGAAATTCTGGAAAGAGAGACAAGATTGCTTCCCATGAGGTCGCCCCTGAAAGAAAGAGGAGCCCCGTGTGGATACACAAGGCGCGGGTGCCAAGCTGATATCAGGCTGGGACAGAAGCTCAGTGCAGGCTGAACGCACATGCCTGTAAATGTCCACTTGGCAGACCCGGGATCTCCTGCTCCCGGGGGACCTGCTGGAAACTCGTCTCTGACCCCTGTCACCACAGCGGCTCAGTTCTTGCCAGACTTTAAAGGCAAGTATCCTCAAATCGTTCTGGAGTACAAACACCACATTACAGAGAGAAATCTGTGGCAAAGACACCTGAATAATTTGCCTTGTGTTGGGAGGAAGACCTGGGCATAGAAACCAAGTCCCTTGAGCGTCGATGCTGAGGATGCCTTTATCTGTCTCCTAGGAGCGGCACCCAGCGTTGGTTCAAGCGGAGCTCACAGGACCTCTGCTCAGAGGGGTGGTGGCAGGAGCCACCAGAGGAGTCACAGGCAGCTGGTGCCTGCAGAGAGCAGGACAAGGGTGAAGGAGAAATAGGAGGGAGAGGATGGTGAGCTGCACAAAGGCCAGAGGGAGGAGCTGCTGCAGGTGGTGAGAGGTTGGCACAGCCACCAGGACGTGCAGATGGGGGGATCTGGTGATCTCCTCGTGTCTCTCAAAGCAATGTTCTTCTGAAAGGGTTACCTCAGCTTTCGGAGCGTAGAGTAAGTGAAACACAGGGGGATGACCAGAGCAGAGAGAGAAGGACAAAAAAATTTCAGAAGCCAAGAAAATAATAAATGGAGGAATCAAGCCTGAATCTTGTGTTGTGGGAGGGTGAGGGGGGCAAGGATGCTGGGGGGGAGAGGGAATAGGAAAATGGAGTTAAGGGGAGGGAGGGAGGGAGGGAGGGAAGGAGGAAGAGGGCGAGAAGTGGTGTGATAGAAATGAGCAGAGGTGGAACAAGGAAAGAGGCTCACAGTGAATTTATTGAATTTCCATTCAAATGTTATCCTGGAAGAAAACCCCAGTTCCTTTGAAGCTGTGAAGACTGGGACTGCAGGGTCCCTCCTGGGGGGACTTGGCTGCTGCCAAGCAGCATTACTGTTGAGATATATTTTAGAATATACCACGCCACAGCAGGTGCATGCAATTAGAGGAGCGCTCTCCAAAATAGCAGGCGGCTGTCAATTTTTTAGCACATGGTGTTGCCCTTTTTTTTCTTTGTCCAACTGTGTAGAAATTT